ATTTGGTTCTAAATAGGCGTTACGAAATGTTGAAAAATTACATTCAATCAAAAAAAAATTCTACATGATACAAAAAATACTCAGTATTTTTAATGTAATATGCATTTATTTTTTTTAATTTTCTTGGTAACGAAAAGTATATTCAAACAGAAGTTTCAAATAAAAACACGAATGCACTGCTTAGTAGCAAATGATCACATAACGGTAGCTCGATCCGGCCATGCTGCTGGTCACAAGTGAATAACTTACTTGTTTTCGAAGTATTGATATTGGTGATTATTATTTAGTAGTGATTACAATAACGCACGAAAAATAAATTCGTTGAATTGTTATAAAATGCAAGTAAAATTCAACTTAGTTTCCCCGTAAGCGAATGATTTCAGTCACATGTAAACAGCCGATACGATATCCGCCATGCTTTTGAATGCTTACGTGACGTCGTGACGTATTATTGACCGGATAGGTCAAGTCGCTAATTAACCAATCAAAATGCTGGATGGTGCCCACGTGTCTAAATTACATAGCTCATTTAAATATGTTAATGAAAGTTCAGCGACCTCATGGTGAACGCAACACGGAAGAGATTTACCGATAATGTAGTGCGATCTTTTGCCTTTGATTTCCATGGGAAAACGGCATGATTTTTTTTTTAAATCAAGAAATTATTTGTTTTCGAAAGATAAATTATTCTTCAATGCTCAGTTTAACACTTTTACGGTGATAAAAGCTCATTGTCTAAAACTTACGAAACACAGACGTATTCAGAAAGAGTATTGACAGAGGTCGCCGCCAGAACAAAAGCAGTTTCGTTGCCAGTCTGACATCTTATCACCGCTGAACAATAAATAGGTGTGAATATTTTTAGGCATGTTGTCGAAACAAAGAATAGGATTAGGAACAATGCCGTTTTGGAACAGCTGGTTGAAACAATGAAGTCAGTCACGGTCTTGTTGAATTGGGGGTGCGGTTAGTAATAGGTACTTTTCAAGTTTTCAATTTTTGTTAAGAACTCTTTAACCCACGAAGCCGGAATTGGGGGTGCGGTTACTATTACGTATGCGGTTTATATTAGACTTTAACGGTACTTGTTTTTCTTCTAATACTGTGTTTGCTCTCACCCAAACCAAAGATTGCATTTATTGCATGCTAGATCTTTGAAATATGACTTACATTTTGACCACCACAGGCACCTCTGTCATTTACATAAGCACAGTCATTTTTGGATTGTACGCAACCGAAGTTGCTATGACAGTTTAAAAAATGCTTGTAAAACTGTGCTGTTACATGTTGGATAAAAAAGATCCACACTATCAGCAAGAAATCCTGGAAAGAAATCAATCATTGAATCCTGCTGGGAGTGTATCCAAGTATGGGACATTGCAAGCAAAGGATATCTGTTAAAATTCATAATTGTGACAAACATTCTAACCAGACAATGGAACCCCCCCCCCCAACACACCCACCCACACACACTCGGTAGTAACATAAGGTAGAAATTTCAATGGAAAATTAGATACAAGTAAGAAGACTGTAAGATGCAGTTAATTAGGTATAGCATTGGTTTCCATGGCAATCATATTGTTGTATTTGTGCTCATCCTAATGCTTCTACCTGTAAGCAAGATTTAATCTAAATTTGTAGCAAACAAGGGGATCCCCATTTGACAACTGAGAGGTTAGCCTACAGGAGTAAAAATTTGAATGAATTTTGGTAATGAATGAAAAATATAAATTTGCATGTTTCACCAAATAATGGACAAGAGGAACCCTACATACAATGACATCATTCACACTCAGTAGTAGTCGAATCAATATTGACCTTTGTGCCAGAACACAGCACATCATTTACCCAGTGTTAGCTTGATGTTCCTTTTTGGCATTAAATTTGCATCTAATTTTGATTTACTTGATTGTGTGTTTTATTTTCTCAGATCTTGGCATTAGGAAATCAAGTTGGCAAGACGTACATATGGGACATTGACGTTGATGAACCTTCTAAAGCAAGGCAAGTTGCTCACTGATATAAAATTCAGAAATTTGTTTTATAAATTGTCTGGAAAAAAAATGTCAGCAATGTAAAATCCTGCCTGCTGGTTCAAAATTAACATTCAATTTAGCAAAAATTTGAAATAATTTAAACTAAAATTTTGGTGAGTTAAAGATCTGGCAATGAGGGTTACCAATAATGTTATTACCTTGCCCGTATTACTGGATTCTGCCGTAAATTCTCCCCGGGGTCATTAAACAGCAGTTTGGGTTTTAAAAAAAAATAAATTGGGACCAAGAAATCACCCAGGGCAATTTTTTGGCAGTTTTTAGCTCCGCTGTCGACTTTGTCGAGCGGAGCTTATCATATGAGTGATTGCCCGGCGTCCGGTGTCCGGCGTCCGTGTCAATGTTTTACCTTTTCAACTTCTTCTTGAAAACTACAAGCCTGAATGCTTTGATACTTGGTGTATATGTACCTTGGGTAGACCTCTCTCAGATTTGTTCATTTCATGATCATATCTTTAATTCTCTAATTTTGGTGAATATTTTTGTAATTTTTGGTAAAAAGTGATATTTTCGACTTCTTGTTAAAAACCAAAACCAAAAGTCCAATTGCTTTGATATTACATATATAGGTACTACATGTGTATCTCTCTCAGATTTGTTCATTTTGTAATGATATCTTCAATTCTCTAATTTTGGTGAATATTTTTGTCATTTTTGGTAAAAAGTGATATTTTCGACTTCTTTTGCTTTGATATTACATATATAGGTACTACATGTTTATCTCTCTCAGATTTGTTCATTTTGTAATGATATCTTAAATTCTCTAATTTTGGTAAATATTTTTGTCATTTTTGGTAAAAAGTGATATTTTCGACTTCTTGTTAAAAACGACAAGTCCAATTGCTTTGATATTACATATATAGACACTACATATGGACCACTCTCAAATTTGTTCATTTCATGATGATATCTTCAATTCTCTAATTTTGATGAATATTTTTGTCATTTTTGGTAAAAAGTGATATTTTCTTCTTGTTAAAAACCACAATCATTTATGGTTAAAAATTATATTTTTGAATTCTTGTTGCAAACAGCAAGTCCCATTGCATTGATACTATGCATATTGTTCATTTTCTAATGATATCTTCTGTTCTTTAATTGAAATGCGCAGTGCTAACAGCGGAGCTATCTCAGCCGAGAGGCTGCTTGTTTAATGTGTTATTTTAATCTTTTCGGGGGCAGACATCCGGGCATTTTCACTGCATGGCAACCATCATGGTGAAAACAAAGCCGACACTGGTACTTTGGGATGGTTGTTGAGACTTCCCTGAACAGTGTAACAAGATTACCCCTGCATGTGTAACGCATATAAATTTGACTGTTGTTTTCTCGAATTTTCATCGGCTCTTCGCTCGGCATTCCACGGTCCTCAGCAAGCGCGCACAGAGCCCATAAAAATGTGTGGTACAGTGATGCGCGTCTTAGCACTTGAAATGTCTTGTGACGTAGCTCCACCCCTGAGGATTCAAGAGTACTGGTATGATGTTTATTTGTATAAGCTTTGTTCGACAATGAGCTGTTATCACTGTAAACGATATTAAATTGTTCTTCAAATGCTCAGTTTATCTTTTGAAAACAAGTAATTTTTTTTATTTAAGAACAAATCATGCTGCTTTCCCATCAAAATCCAAGCCAAAAGATCATACAACATCGGCAAATCTCTTCCGTACTGCGTTCAATAACATTAATATATTTAAATGAGCTATGGTATGGTAATTTGAACACGTTGGCATCATCCATCATTTTGATTGGTTAATTAGCGATTTGGCCTGTCAGTTCAAAGAACAACGTCCAGGTCAAAACATGGCGGATATTCATTTCTACAACACCGAGTGTTTAAAATGCGACCGGAATCATTCGCTTACGATGAAATAAGTTGAAATTTATTTGCATTTTCATAACAATTCAATGAATTTAATGGTTACATGTTATTATAATCATTACTAGGTAATAATCAACAATTGCGAAGCACAGCATGATTGCGCTACCGCGATCATTTGCTAATGCAGTTGTGTTCGTTTCTAATTGAAACTTTTTTTAGAATATACTTTTGCACTAATAAAATGAAAACAAAATAATTGTGTTTGGCGCATGAGGTTCGTTAATGTGATTTTTTTTTTTGAGAAAGATGTTGTGGGTGACACTGTAATGAAATTTTAGGCAGTCTACGTTTTAATTCAGCAAGAAAAAAAATGTATAAAATTTTAGATTAGCTTCTGCAAATAGTTTCTTTTGTTTTGGGTGGTCCAACTGCCGGTGTTGCAAGTCGGCGTAGGTGGATTTTTCAATGAAAATACATGTCCCCAAATAATATTTGATGATCATTTTTTGAAATTTTGAACCAGTCGTGAAATCGCCCAGTGCGTTTTTTTGGATGGGCGAATTTACGACAGAATCCGGTATCATAGATGAAGGGAAAGGTATATAAGGCGAAAATATCCATTCTCATTGTTGATATGTGACATTGTTAAACTTTTTCTTGCAGTTACAATAACCAAAACAGTTTTCATTCAACCACTTTCAAACTTGGATACGGTATTAACCAGTTTAGAATCCTGGCCAAGTTAGATTTCAGTATGTGTTCTATGTGTATTTTTCAAGGTATTGGTTAATTTTCACTCAAAATAGTCTTCTTCTTGTGGTTACAATTATTATTTCAGGTGTACAGTGTTATCACATGCTAAGTGCCAATCTGCTATCAGACAGACCAGTATGACCAGAGATGGCAACATACTTATATGCGTATGTGATGACGCTACTGTATGGAGATGGGATAGAATAAGATAACCTCCCTCGTTTATATAATGGAATATGCCATGGGACCAAACAATGAAATGTGGGAAGTTAGATAAAGATGACCTGCTCATCCACATAATGGAATGTGCCATAGAATTTGTGAACTGTTGGAAGATAGGAGAATAAAGATGACTTCCCTCTTCACATAATGGAATATGCCTTATGATGAATAATGTAGTGTGGACATGTGAAAAAAACAATCTCAATATTCAGATAATGGAATATCACTCACCATCACTATATGGTGAATAGTTAAGAGAACATCCTCTTTTGTATAATGGAATATTCCACAAACTCGCCATTCAGATAATTTAATGTCACTTACCATCACTATATGGTGAATTGTTTAAGGGAACATCCCCTTTTGTATAATGGAATATCCCACAAACTCGCCATTCAGATAATGTAATATCCCTTTTTGTATAATGGAATATTCCACAAACTTCCATTCAGATAATGGAATATCACTTACCATCACTCTATGGTGAATTGTTTAAGAGAACATTTGGTATAATACCCATTATACCCTTTGGTATAATGGAATATTCCAAAAAACTATATATAGAAAGAATGAAATCCTGGTGAAAAAAATTCAATCATTGAAATAGCCTTTTAGTAAACGAGGGACTGCTACAAGACGAGGTTTACCAGTAATACCAAAGCCTTGATGTCAAACCAGATTTATTGCACTGACAAAAATATATGCAAATACATTTATCTGAGTAAGATGTAAAATTTTTGCCACTGACATCTACTATGACTTCAAATTCAGGAATACAACTCTATACCAGTCAATCTAATTATTTTTAGCTCACCTGTCCATGTACCCCAGTAGTTAATTTGGATTTCAATCGAATGACTGGAATAACAGGCACCCCTCCTCTTTTTTGTGACTGAATGTCATTTCATTAGTCACATGGTGCCTCATGCTTCTAATTTTTCAATCCTGTTTTTTTATGTATTATTGGAATAAAGATCTTATATTTGTATTAAATTATAGTGCTGTCATTGCCACATAGCACGGTTACTAGAAGAATTCTAGTAACCATGCAGTGACTGATGTGTAATATAAGGGGACTGTAGTGGACGTCAATGTGAAAACATACCGAGTGCATATTTAGTCCCCGTTATGGTTTGCCCTGTCTGCGTCCGTGATCACCTGTATCTCGAACATGCATGGACCGATTAAGTTCAAACTTCACTCATACATCACACATTATATGGGACATATGCACATGCATTTTTGTCATGATCCGATTAACGATAGCCGAATAGCGGCCATTTAAAGCCGAAAATGCATCAAAATCGCACATTTTTTCCATTCCGAACCCGGATCTCAGTTATGCTTGGACGGATTTTGTTCAAATTTGGTACATACATTAAACATAATAGGACCTTGATGCACGTCATTTTTTTTTTAGATCGGGTTTGAAATGGCCGACTGGCGGCCATTTTGTTTTAAAGAATTCAGTTCTGGATTCGTATCTGAAACATGCCTGGATTGATCGAGTTCAAACTTCACACACACGAGGTAAATCATGTCAAAAATATGTATGTGCATTTGTTTCATGATCCCATTAACGATAACCAAATGGCGGTCGCTTTAAGGCCGAAAAAGCATTGAAATCGCATATTTTCACCATTCCAGACCCGGATCTTAGTTATGCATGGATGGCTTTTGTTCAAATTTGGTACATACATTAAACATAATAGGACCTTGATGCACTCCATATTTTTTTTCGGATCAAGTTCGAAATGGCCGACTGGCGGCCATTTTGTTTTAAAGAATTCAGTTCTGGATCCGTATCAGAGTCATGTCTGGATTGATCAAGTTCAAACTTCACACACGCATAGTACATCATGTCACAAATAGATATGTGCATTTGTTTCATGATCCGCTTTAACAATAGCTGAATGATGGCTATTTTAAGGCCAAAAATGCATCAAAATCACGTATTTTCACAATACTGGAACCGGATTTCAGTCATGCATGGATAGATTTTGTTCAGATTTAGTACAATGTGTTGTACATATGCAGGTGCATTTCGGATCAGACCACTGAAAGTGGTCTGAGATTTTGGTCATGATCTGCTTTGAATGTACATGTCACTCAAATATGAACGATCGGGGACGTGTCATTAACAATGACTTGTTTTTTTTATACCTTTTCCCGATTCCATCGCTTCCTGTGTGAAGCCCAGAACTGAGCAATGTGCTAAAAATTAAGACTTTTTTGCTACAAATTTTGTTTTGAAACATGCTGCCAGCTTGGATATCTCTTTATTTGGAATTTGCATATCCTAATAAGGTAGGATGAGCCGTGCGAGAGGGATCAATGAATGCGGACTGGGTGAGTGAGACGTGATATGTTGTTGTAGTGATAATTAGTTTATAATAGATCTCAGACACAAGTTGCCATTCACTTCTTTTGTTTCGTATATTGATTCTGTATTGTGAGCATCCATGTTAATTTTGAAAGTTTATGAAATGTTCTTAAATATAGAAAACAAGCTTTTCACTCGTACACACACAATGAATATTTTTATAGCATCTCAGTACCCATATGTACATTTGTAACATATTTCTTGGGAACACTATACCAGTACAAACGTACAAGTTTGTTCAGCTTCTGGATGACTGGTTGTTATATTGACCCCCTTTTCTGTCACAAACGTGGGAACTTAAAACTCTGATAGAAATTCATTTATGGCTGATGTCAACTAAGTGATTGGGATGAATGAAAAAAAAACCTACAAAAATCAATGAATGCGGACTGGTTAGTGAGACATGATTTGTTGTAGTGATAATTAGTTTATAATAGATCTCGAACACAAGTTGCCATTGCGATGTGACGTAACTAGATTTTGCCATTATATTGTGTCATCGCTTCCATTATTCAGATTATCATGGTTACATCACAGGGAGCCCAGGAACTGTACGCAGACTCTTTAGGGGAGGAGGGGTGTTATCGGCTGGTATCCAGTGTAAGACACCAACACTCCACGCTCATAGATACTGCAAACTGGTTCCCTTCACTAATTCAAATTTGCACAATACTTTTTGAATTTTTTAATCATTAGAGATTGTTTCTAGAGAATAATGCAAACCTACAAGATAACCTCAAAGTATGACACACTAAATACAAACAGAAGGAGTAGTAGTTTTAACATTTCCTTTTTATTTTACTTTAGTAAACCAAAAAGACTGTACAAATTTGTTTCTTCAAAGTTTAAAAGTGATATTCTTTCTCACTATGAGAGGTTTAATGGTCAGACATAAATGGATAAGAAATTGACATTTTGTCAATATTTTGAAAAATGGGTGTTTTTGGTATTTTACATGTTATACCATCAAAATAAGACAACAAACATCTAATTTTGACAAGACGATTTAAAAATTGATTGGTTATTTTCAGACTTTCAAATAACACACCTTCAATGGTTGCTACATGATTCACATATCTGCTACCCAAATCTGAGTGTAAATTAACTTTTTTCATCGACAATGCAGATCAGCAACGATAGTCTACATTTTGGGAGAATGAACATAATTCTATTCAATTTATTTCTTCATGTTTGTACACTATGCAAGTTGTTCATCCAAATTCGTTTGTTACCCAAGTTTTTCTGAATTTTACTATTTTTTTTGAGTGTAAATTTCAGATCAGGTAGACAGAATGTATTTTTTTTTTATTTTTTTTTTAAATCGAGAAAGAATGGTGGTTTAGCTACCATTCTACTGAATGTCCGCGCATGTCTTTTTTTAGAATGGAAAAAAGTTACTATTTTTTTTCAATTATTTTTTTTTTTGATGCAACTAAGCTTTGTTTTATCATAATATTTTGGCTAAAACTTTGGAACGGCGATGGCGACTTTGTATACAACTCTGGTTTGAACAGAACAGCAATCATTATGCCAATAATCTTACTGCAAAACTAGTCAAAATATAAATATACTTTTACAAAACAGTAAAATAAATAAAAAAAAATTGTAGGAAAACTAGTTGAATAGCTATAGGATGAACAACATGCATGGATGGCTATAAGTTTGGAATACATTTTTAAAGAGTCTATTGGGGAAATTCTTGGCTGGAAACTGTTAAAGTATGCAATTTGCCAATGTGCACCTGCACGCATATATATAAAGAGTCCTAGTAAATCGCTTGGATAATCATATATCTATCTGTTGCACTGCAAGCTGGAATAGTATTTAAATCTGAAAGAAAGCACAAAAATTAATTGAATTTAAATTATACATTTGTTGCTGCGAAGTGTTTTCTCTGCCACTAAATGGGTCTGATCGGAAATAACTTACCAACAGCAGAGAAGCATCAGTCACAAGGCAAATTACGGAAGAAGAATTGAAATTAGTATTTTGCAGCCTTACAAAACTCACATAAAAAATTTGAGCCAATTTTCAGTTTTATTTAAAAAAAAATTGCCTATATCTTCTGAAGGAAAGTGCAGACTATAACTGGTGGTTGGATGCACTACAACACACACTAAAAATGATGCTCAGGTATTTAATAAACTTTTCACAATCTGAACCAAAAAATGAGAAACTGTACTTACATCGTCAATATCATCTACATCTTCACCTTCTGCATCAAAATCAAATGTAATGTCATCCTCGACGCCCTCGTTGCCAAATCCCACCGCTTCGTTGATTTTCGCTGTTTCTGGAAGTTCACCGTAAAGTTTTAGATTACGCGCTTCATCGGGTGTGTATTTGAGAATAACGTCAGCTTTCTGGTCTTGGTAGTCTCTCAAACCAACTAGAATGATGTCTGACTGGTTGATCCACACCTGGAGGAGAAGACAAACCAAAATATTTAACTTTGGTCGAATAAGTAAACCGAACAAAAATCAAAGAAAGCTTAGAAAGAACTCCCATGTGCTGAGAGTATTGGAGACACATTAAATATAATTCGAAATTACTTAGCTGAAAACTAATTATGCAAATCAGAAAATTAATATGACCAGATTTGAGTGTAAAACTAATGAGGTCTGCGCAATATAACAGAAAATCTATGTCTCCAAGTTTAATTGAAATGTGATTAGAACCAAAAAATTATGAATTATTATGCTTATTAGGGAATTAATATGAACAGATTTTTACCCCAAACTAATTAGGTTTGTACATTGTCCTAGAGCATCTTTGTACTAAGTTTCATTGAAATGGAATAACTAGTACTGTGAAAACTCCAAAATTTCGACCCCCCTAAA